GGTGGCTTGGGAGGCAGCGGCGGTCCTGCCCGCACGCCGAGCAGTAATCCTACGTTCCCTCAAGCTCGCAGCCTTGGAGGGAGAACTGGAAGTAGTGTGGAGGAGAATATCTTGGTTACACTGATGCCGGAGAAGGAAGGCTTGTTCATGTTCCAACATCATAACTACGAGGTTTCTAGCCAGCGGAAGGGCAACAAGGTCATCCGCCGCTACAGCGACTTCGTCTGGCTCCTGGATTGTCTCCATAAGAGATACCCATTTAGGGTGCTTCCCCTTCTGCCACCCAAGCGTGTCGCAGTAAACGGCAACCATCTCTCCAACGACGGCGCTTTCATTGAGAAGCGTAGACGCGGGCTGGCTAGGTTCTTGAATGCGTTGGTTAGGCACCCTATTCTGAGCCAAGAGCAGCTCGTTGTCATGTTTTTGACTGTCCCCACCGTGAGTTTCCTCTCTACTTATTTGGATAGCAGTATTTCTAAACGCTAACACAAAGTTTCAGGAGCTGGCTGTTTGGCGAAAGCAGGCCACTATTTCCGTACAGGACGAGTTCTCCGACCGTGTGCTGCCCCCGGGCCTCGAGGAGTCTCTGCCACCGACCCTGGAGGAGCTATTCATCAGAACAAAATCTGGAGTTCGACGATCTGCAGAACTCTATATCAACGTCTGCAACATCATGGATCGGCTAGTTAAGCGACAGGAGGGCGTTGCAGCTGATCATGGACGCGTAGCTATGATGCTGACCAGCCTGATGGAGACTTCTGAGGACACGTACGCCACGGACAACAACGAGGTACCTCTGCTCAATGATGGTCTTAATGCTATGAGCAACCATCTCCGCACTTCTCAGACCCTCATGGAAGAGGAGAGCCGGGCATGGGACCAGGGTGTGCTTGAGGATCTGAAGAGGCAGCGTGACTCTCTCGTCAGCATCCGGGAGTTGTTTGAGCGGCGTGAGAGGTTGGACAAGGACAACATTCCTTACCTGGAGCGAAGGATCCAGACGAATGAAAACAAACTGGCCGGCTTGCGGGCCAAGCCCGAGGGAACGGTCAAGTCTGGTGAGATTGAACGTGTCGCAGAGTCCATTATTAAGGTATGGTCGATAGAACTCGCTCATTGCATTTTCCCCTATTCAGAAACTAACATTCCGGCAGGATAAGGAGTCTATCGTCCGACAGCACAACCGGAGCATCTTCGTCAAGGAATGCATTCGCGACGAACTCATTACTTTCCAGACCACCCAGTATCATGTCAGCTACTGGAACCAAGATTGGGCTGGCGAACGAGTCAAGTATGCCGAAATGCTCGCTGACAACTGGCGCCGGCTACTTGACGAACTTGAAGGCATGCCTCTCGGGGAATAAAGTCCAGCAAGGAACTATTGTATCGCGTTTGTTTGATCGACGAACTAATTGATCCCTGTCCTTCCTGGGGAAATCGTCGATCGACAACGCTTCTGGGATTGTACAACATCACGTTGTGATTCTTAGCGGGGATGGTAATTTTCGCATTTACAATCTACAATCCTGCGTGTCAATCAGTCGAAGGTGGTCCCAAAGGGGCCGTCTTCGCGAGGAACGTATTGCATATAATCATCTTTTTCTGTCAGTTTTTACATTCAAGCAGTAGCAAGAAGCATGAGTTAGGTTTAGTTTGTCATGGGGAGAGGGCTTTCTTGGTTTGAAGTGACGGGTTATACCCTTTTGTTCGTCCTTTTCGTCATTTCCAGGCTTCAGAACAATAGAACAGCCATTGATATTTCTATTTTTCAATTTTTTGTCTCTTCCTGTCCATTCGATTGCACACGGGGATAGATAATCACCATCCGTCCGTGATGGCACCGTGACTAGCATCTCCGACCAAACGGGCATACTTGCCCAGGGCTCCTCTTCTAACATGGGGCTCGGGGCTCTTCCACTCGGCCCGTCTCTTGGCGAACTCCTCCTCGCTGATGGCCACATCGATCCTGTTTGTGACGGCGTCAATGGTCACCTCGTCCCCGTCCCTGACCAGCGCAATGGGCCCTCCCACAGCAGCCTCGGGCACCACGTGTCCAACGATGAAGCCGTGCGACGCGCCACTGTACCGCCCATCCGTGACAAGTGCCACGTTGGAGAGGCCCGCGCCCATGATGGCGGCGCTCGCCCGCAGCTGCTCCGGCATGCCCGGGCCGCCCTTGGGCCCCTCGTACCGCACAATCAGCACCAGGTTGCCGTCCGAGGCCTTGATGTCCCCCTTGCTCAGCGCGCTGTCCAGCTCGTGCTCCTTATTGAACGTCCGCGCCTTGCCCGTGAAGCTGGTGCCCTCCTTGCCCGTGATTTTGGCGACGGCGCCGCCGGGGGCGAAGTTGCCCCGGAGGATGCGGATGTGGCCCGACGACTTGATCGGGTTCTCGAGGGGGCGGATGATCTGCTGGTTGGGGTCCAGGGAGGGCCAGTCCGCGACGTTCTCGGCCAGGGTGCGGCCCGTCACGGTCGGGATGCCGCCGTCGAGGATCCCGCGGTGGATGAGCATCTTGATCACGGAGGGGGTGCCGCCGACGTTGTAGAGGTCCTCCATGTAGTACTTGCCGCTCGGGGCGAGGTCCGCCAGGAAGGGGGTGCGGTCGCTCGCCGCGGCGACGTCGTCGAGGGTCAGCTCCACGCCGGCGGTGTTGGCCATGGCGAGGAAGTGCAGCACGCCGTTGGTGGAGCCGCCGAGGATCATGGTCAGGCGCAGGGCGTTCTCGAAGCTGCGGCGGGTGATGAGGTCGCGCGGGCGGATGTCCTTCTCCATGGCGACCTTGATGACCTCGGCGGCCTTCTCGCACTCGCGGCGCTTCTCGGGGGACATGGCCGGGTAGGAGCTGGATCCGGGGAGGGTGAGGCCCATGACCTCGATGGCCGTGGCCATGGTGTTGGCCGTGTACATGCCGCCGCAGGCTCCGGGGCCGGGGCAGGCGTGGCGCTCGATGTCGTCCATGACGTCGCTGCTGGTGCGGCCGGGCTCGCCGGGGTTGGTCTTTGCGTGGAGCTTGTTGTAGGTGTAGGCGCCTGAGGCCTCGTAGCAGGAGCTGATGTTGATCTCCTTCTCGAGGAGGGTGGAGTGGCCCTTGCGGATGGTGCCGCCGTAGATCATCAGGAAGGGGCGGTTGTGGCGGGCGGCGGCCATGACGACTCCGGGCATGTTCTTGTCACAGCCGGGGATGGAGATGTTGGCGTCGTGGTGCTGGCCGCATGTTACGGACTCGATGGAGTCTGCTATGATCTCTCTTGTTTGTAAAGAGAAGCGCATTCCTCGTGAGGTTGTCAGCCTTTTGTAAGTGATGCTTGGGTTCTTGATGGGTTTGTGACAATACCCTCGCCGCCCATGGTGATGGCGTCTGAGACGCCGACAGTATTGAACTGCCAGCCAAGCATGCCCTGCTTCTCGACGGCGGCCTTGACGATCTGGCCGAATTCCATCACTGTACTCGTGTCGTGAGCAACTACTCGGCTTCAACCCTGACATGCCCACTTCCTGTACTACTTACAATGTGTGCTGGAGACTCTTTGTTAGACTCTGTCTATGGAATGGGCAATATGAACAACTCACTTGCATGGATTGCCTTCCCACCAAACAGTCGCAACACCAACTTGGGGGGCATTCTTCATTACGGTTGGGTCCGGCACGCCGCATGCGTAGAGCATGGCCTGTTTGATCGCTTATTAACCATCGGATGCCCCAAGGCATAACATACGGTAGTAGATGACCAACCTGAGCACCGGGGTAATCATGGCCGCGAGTCAGTGTTGTCGACCACCTGTTCAAGGGACCTCCGGGGGGCATGCATTTAAACTGGATGTAATCACTGCTCGACTTGGGGTCGGGCTCCGTGGGAGGTAGGTTGTTCCCGCTTGAAGCCATCGTGGATCAACGGAGTCGGCAGTGGCTTGTGGAGGAGGGAACTACAGGTGTTTTTGTCTCAGTGAGAAGATTATCCACATGCAAGTCAAATTTGACAATGAGAATCAGTAATAATGAACGGGACGGGGGAGTGTGAGAGAAGTGAATAAAAAAAACGGCGAGCCATCGGCGACACTCCGATCCGCGAGTGGAGGCGTTTGCCGATTGTGACGAGTAACTGAATCCATATTTCCAAGCGGGACTCTAATCCGACGATGGATTGGGCCGCTGGCATTGGTTATCCGTAGCTTCATGCAGGCAAGTTTCACCTGGGGGGCTCCGTAGTCGGATCATGCTCCCCAGAACTCTTCGGCTGGGCAGTGTGTACAGTAGGATTGACGATTTCCCCACGCAGAGGAGAGTGGATCGCCCGGCCAAGGACGGTGTTTGCTTGCTTGGGTCCAACCCACCTTGATGAGAATACTACTTTGCTCTGGGCGTGTCTGGTAGTTGTGGCGTTTGGCTTGGGTGGAAAGAGTTACATGAGGGATCGCGGCGAGGCAGATGGAGATGGTGAACACCTGTTTTCGATCAGACTGGATCAATTGATTGTCCCCAGGCCAGAAAGTAAAATCCCAGCACAGCCGTACTAACTGGTTTTCTTGTTATACTTCATACCCCTCACTCTCCACGGCCCCTCATACTTAGTCTTGCACGAAGCCGATTATGTGGAGAGCAGAGGACGGTTTGGGAGAGAGCCCGCCCGACACCCTAAAACCCCTTTGCCTTTACAATTCAGCCGCTTCTGATTGGATTATCGGTACTGTAATCCCCGACGATGACGAAGTTGGTTTGGCAAGTGGACAAGTGGGTGTCTTAGTCCATGTTCATTCATCAATCACATAAGAAACTCTCGCCATAAAGTAAATAGTAAGATGCTATCAATTTGGTGAATAGAGGGGTGAAAGGTGTGCTCTATATTGCTCAGGTCGACCGCGTAGTCAACGCTCTATATCAGTAAATCTAAATGCTATCGACTGTGTTTTATACATAAACTCAGAAGGGTGATTCTTGTACAAGGAAAACATGTGGTAAACAGGAGAAGGCTAGGGAGCAGCCTTCCCGGCATAGCAATGTTATGATTTTCGGTTTTCGTCATGAAACAAGTCGTCCAAAGCGACCTCAAGACGTTTGAACATGGTGAAGTGGGTATCATCTGAGAACGCGCGGAGTGTGCAATGGGGCAGCCTCTTGGCCAAGTATTCGACCATGACAATAGGAGCATTCGCATCATTGGCCCCATGCCATATCCAGACCTGGTTGTAGCCGACATCTTCAAACTTGAATCCCCAGTCGCGAGCAGACAGCAGCTTTGCTTTGCGAACCGCAGCATCCACGCCCTGCCTCATCGGTTCACCAACGAGTAGATTCATCGTAAAGTCGCGCTGGTCTTTTTTACCCTTGGCCTCAGCCTCTTCGCTTTCCCAAGTCTGTGGCTTGTGCAGCCCGGCTTCCTTGTCCAGCTTCTCAATCAGTTCATCGAGTTTCCTCTGGCCCGGCTTGGATTCCGCAATTTTCTTAGCAGCGCCCACGAGAACACGCATGACGGCGCTCAATACCCCAGGCGTGTTATTGGCCATGTAGCACATCACCCTCTGCACACGCGACATGTGATGCGCGCCAGCCGCCCACGGTGGCGCGCTGGCAAAAAGGCCTACGCCGGCCAGCATCTCCCGCGGCAGTGCGTGTGCGCATGCCGGTGCGTAAGGCCCGCCACCTGAGCCGCCGATGATGGCAAATTTGTCAAGTTTCATGCCCTCCGCAAAAGCCTGGATGTCGGCGGGCCAGTCCATGATGGTCCGGTTAGGCTGCGTGGTAGACGGACCATAGCCTGGCCGGTCCAGTGAGATAACACGGACGCCACGCCGACGAGCCAGCTCGTCCACGCCCGAGGCCTCGAGGCGTGAGGACGGGTAGCCATGGAAGAAGAGCAGAGGCTTGCCCTCACGGCTACCGTACTCGGCGAATCCGAGTATTCGCGGCCATCAGGGAGGCCGAAGGTCTGGTTCTCATGGACTCCTTTGCCAAACGTGCTTAGGAGGCGGCGCCCCAAGGCCTTGCTGGGAACGTTATGTAGCACCACCCGAATCGACATGATGCCCAAGCAGGGTCTAGGGGTCGGTGCCAGTTGTCAAGACCGAATCCATCATACATCACAACGGAGATTCAATACTCTTGGAATCCAGGTGGGTTCTCACTGACCAAGAGCGCGTATACCAAAGGTCCTTTCAGCATTGATCTAGGTAGATCATGTGATTCATTGTGTGCTTGTGCACAACCGCCTGTTTCACGGTTGTTCTGATCACCGCGCTACCTAGGGAAAACTGACGCCACAGGCCAGTCACAGGATCATCCCTTCTCCCAGAGCTATGACATAGTCTTTTCAACACACTTTCAGGCTCGAAACGAAAGACAAAGAGTCGTTGACAGTATGAACAATTTAGCTCACGTACGTTCCGAGTGCTGGGAACTACCCTACCCTGTAGGATAACAAGCGGCACCAGCACAAACCATGAATATTAACTTTTAGTCAGATAATTACTAACATCGCTTTGAGGGCGCGCGTGCGTCTCGGCGGCGATATTTTAATATTCTCCGTCGGTTATTCCTGGTGTATAAGGGGTATTGTTGTGAATTTTTTGTGTCTATTTCTTCAATCATAGGTTGCCGGTGCGTGTCAGAAAGTCGGGAAAAGGGGTCGTCGAGCCAGAGAACAGTGTTCATGTCAGACGTGCTACCCTTCTTGGCAGCCTCCGCTAACGACACACACGAGGTTGATGAGCTACTAAATGGTCATGTATCAGAACTGAGCTCTCAGACGCGTCCCATGGGTCATGTAGCTAGCCCAGTACCCCAGATCTGGCTTCTAGAAGGTCGATGGGGCTACCGCAGCTAGGGAAGTACAGAACTTGTAGTTCAGGCCACGAGATGTACTCGGCCGAGTCGAGAAGACTTTGGATCGATGTACCCAGCTTTGACCGTCATGTAGTCGAGTGGAGGTGGAGCATCCCTAGCAAGGGAGGGCAATATAGCAGTAGTGTAGTCGGCGCGTGCAGCTCGTCGATGTACCTGGCTGGCAGACGCGAAAGTACTCCTGCCTGACCCTACAGCTAGATCGACCGGGAAGATCTGCGAGCCCTAGTGCCCTGGCCCAGAGAAGGATGGAAACGGCGCCAAATGTACAGATACCTGGAGTGTTCCGAATCTGAGAGCGTGCATTTGACAGGCAGGCCAAGGTGGTAGCCGTGGGGACTAGGTTTTGGTGGATGGGAGAATGCTGGCGCATGCTACATACAGTACATGCAGGCAGGACGGCTGGCTTGAAATTCCGAGCTAGATCATCGCCAATTAAACACCAAGGAGGTGTAGGGAGGAGGTACTCCGTGGGCAGGTATTTTTAGCTGTCTCTAGCCTGCCGATACGAGCCGAAATGCACACAGGCGCGTGATATCTGACAGGCGGCGCGCACTGTCGCCATCTGACGGCCGATGCGAGCTCGCAAAATGCCCATGGCAAATACCAGCTTCGCAAATCCCACATCCAAATTCTACTGCCTATTGTGGTGTTTACCTTCGACGGCCTGTCTTACGGCTCCTGACCTGCTTATCATAGGGTTTCGTAGCAACTGGCCTCTCAGATCGCTGCACCAATCAGAGACCGCCAGGGTACAGTGCCCCTGGCACGGAGAGCATGGGTCGTGCATAAGTAGCGGTCAGCCCATGACGCTGATTTGAAACTGTGCGACACGGCCAGAAAATCACGTAAATGCACAGTGTCAAGATTACATATGCACGCATCCAGTACCTCGGCGGCCTCCGTGCGGCCCCTAATCCCCACTCACCCTGGCTCCCTCCTGCTTTCAGGCAGCAGAGAGAAAAACAGGCCAGCCCTGCTCCCCATCCTCTCCCAAACATCGACCCATCCGCACCGCCCTTTGCAGAGAAAGTTACTTGGACTTGAGGTACACGATCCCAAGTATCGCCCTCACCTTGCCATCTCCTTCTACCTCCTACCTACTTGCTGCCCCAGCTGGCACCCCAGAGTGCTCCACCGCACTCGCCTTGTCAACTTCAACATCGATCTCATCCTGCATTGTCGCACTGCGACATCGTCAACGGCTCAGGCCCCTCCAGCATCGTGTCCGGCCTCTGCAGCACACCTCTGATTTTCTTGCACATCACCCGGAACAACCCACGCCCAGCCCGGTCCAATCCAGGCAGCTTCGGAAGCGGCGCTATTCAATTTTCCTTGATTTTCTCAAGTCACCGTTGCCACCGTTTGTTCTGCCCAACCACCGCCTTCACACAGCATTGTAAGCGAGCCTGCCAGGCCTTTCTTTTTCTCCACTCTCTTCTCCTTTCACCATTTCCACTTGGAAAAAGAGGAGCTACATCGCCGCGACAAAGCGAGGAAATTCCTGTACCCAATTCCCGCTCCTCCCGCGTCACTCATCGCGCTCAATTTTGAATTCCCTTGCTGGCTGGCTGGCTAAACCTTACTTCCCGTACCACTAGGTTTAGCCCTGTGAGCGACCCAAAGTCACTGCAACCTTTCGCCTCCTTGCCTACATACCACCTGCGCATTCGGCTGCTTTTGGTTTACACATAAACCAATCATCCTCCCTCACCTATGCCATCTGGCCGCCGCGTATAGGTACACGTATCCGCCATCACTCACCACACAAGGTTACCTGATTTTTGCTTGTACCTATCCAACGTGTCTTGTCCCTGTCTACGAGGACTCGATTGTGCTACTACAACGTGTCGACTGCAGAGACACGCGACCCCCGGATACAGAGGAGCTTTCGCGATCTGAACGCACACGCGCTTTGAGCGCCCCATACAAGCCGTCGTGAGTAACCTTCCCACTCTACCACCCCGAGCCTTCCTATCATCGAGAATTTTTTTTCCACACCCCCCGTCGGCTCTTTTCCTCTCATGCCATTTTCTTCTTGGTCGCCGCATGAATGTCTGCGACGAATTCACTTTGTGTCACACTGCTTTTGTTCCATCTCCCAAGATATCAATGCGCCACTCTGGGCGATGATGGGAGTCGTCCTATCATTCCGTCATTGAATGTTGACATGTGTAATTGGCTGTGGCTATGTCGCGTTCACGCCAACCACCCCCATGTCTCTTCCTTTCTTCCCCCCCTGCTCCGGTGCCATTTTGGCTGCTTAGCTGCTGGCGGTCCATCACTCCCCGGTGACTGGGATTCGTTCGGTTCATTGTGGGCGCCACACTGGGGCTACTGCCTGCCTACATTTTACACAGCCCCTGCCCTTGGCCCTCTCTCTCAGTGCTTGACCTACCTCACAGGCGTTCGTCATCGCTACTTGCTTTCAATTTTTCCTCCCGCTTCCCTTCTCCCCCTTCTGCAAGGCATTTTTACTCGTCAGATCCAGTCGACGTCCATCGACTGATCCATCCGTGTGGCCCGTTCGTGTCTCTTTTCTATCAGAATTTGAACGTGGATTTAATACTAATCATTCTGGAGTTTTAGACCATGCAGCAATGGCAGGTTGGCCCTATGCCAGAATACGTCTACCCCAATAACCCACACCAACCCAATGACGTGCAGTGAGTTACATGATCCATTTGTTCCCGGTACCTCAACGCCCACCCGCTTTGGGTCACCAACATCCCGCTGCACAACGTACCATGCCTCCTCTACCTCACATCAAGTATCCCTTGAATCCCCTCCCCATACAGATGTTGTTCAACCTGGTAGGTGCGGGTCGCATCAAGGTACTTCGAAACAAGCAGAATGGGCATCGTGTATCACCGTCGTCCGCCTGCTTGTTTTCCTTGGGCGCGCCCGCCAGCCTGTACCTGTTGTGACAGCATCATACTTACACTCAAAAGACCGTCCATATCTTGCCCCCTCCCCATCTTGGGGAGGTCGCGGTCATCATGTCACAGAGAGCCCCAAAAGCTCACTTGCTGTTCCTTGCTAACATCCATCAAGTCAACATACGTACCCGGCCGACATGGCCCGTCGCAATGACCAGCCGCAGCATTTCTACGCTGGTCAGCCTCCCAACATGCCGCCGCAGCAGCACCATCCGACCCCAGTCCAGCCGCCGATGAATGTGCCCCAACAATCGCCTAACGCGCCCTCGTCGCAGCAGCCGACCCCAACCCAGACGCCGGCGCAACCGCCGCGTCCGCGCAAGCGGCCCAATCCAGCTGCTGCAGCGGCTCCTCCTGTGACGACAGGTCCTCCTCCTCCTGCCGGAGCTCCTGCTCAAGCCCAGGCTGCAGTACCTGGCGTTCCTGCTCCTCAGGGAACGCCGACCCAGCAACCACAGCAAGCTCCCCAGCCTCCGGGCGTTGAGGACGCAAACGCGGCCGCTGTCGCGCCCCCCCCCGCGAAGAAGAGCAGAACAAACACCCCCTGGACTCCTGGTGAAGAGTTACGACTCAAGCAGATGCGTGATGCCGGCAACAGCTGGGCTGAGATTGCCAAGGTGCGCAAAAATTCATCGAAGCAGGCCGACGTGGTCCACTAACCATGACCCAGACTTTTCCTAGCAGGACGGAAGGCTCAGTGAAGAAGCACTGGTATAAGGTTCGAACTTACCCAGTATACCTGAGCATAAGGAGGGAAGAGACTGACTTTGGTTTAGGATATGCATTATGCCGAATTTGCAGAGGATGAGGTACGTCCATATTTAATTAACCCCACGCCCTCCAGGTTTGATTGCGAGCTTCAAAGTACTGACCTTGATTCCTCTCGTATAGAGTCAAGCCCTCTTGAATGCAATCAAGGAATATGAAAATAACAAATGGAAAGTTATTGGTCAGAAGGTTGGCAAACCTGCCAAGGTAAGTTTTGGGCCCCTCACTTGTGTTTATATTAATCAGCTTGGACTGATGAGTTTTTCAATAGGCATGTGAACAGTATGCCAAAGAGCATTTCCCAGGTAAGAAGTCTCGTCTCTTTGAGACAAGTTAAACGTGGCCAGAATTTATTCAAGTCTTCCTAACCCTGGTGGAATTCAACTAACACAAACCTAGAAATGTTTGGAGGAAAGCCTCGGTAGAGCATTGTGTCCTGTCCCGTTGACGGTCATGAACTTGTTGTGTTGCTGCCTGAATTCTCCGTTTTAGGAACCAGGTCACACGACTAGACCTGTGTAATGACAACGACTTTGTGACATGGAGTCTTGGTTGGGACAACAGGGGAGGACTACGCACGAAATGGCTTGCTCACTCGCTCGCTTCCATCTTCACAATCATACTTGAGAGACTCGACCTTTTAATTTCAGGATGGATTTTGATTTTCTTTTCTTTTTCTTCTCGTGAGCAGGGAGAATGCTGTGTGGATGGGATAGGGCAAGGAACGGCTTGAATGACTTCTGGGCCGAGCGGCACACGACCTTGTATTTTTCTTCTTACCATCAATGTCAAGTTGGAGCTCTGGGAACAGCAGGCTGAGGAGGGGAGCGGCCGCGCGTGATTCAAATTCAGCAGCGCTCTAAGTGCCGACCGAGCACAGCTTGTGAAATTCTGGACGCGTTGACGGGCTGACATCCCATAACAGGGTAAAACTGAGCAAGGGGAGGCTGATCAAGGGATTCCTGATCGTCTCTTCTACAAAACAAAAAATGTAATAGGGCTTAATACTTCATAGGAGCACCGGAAGATTGTGAACGCTTTCCAGTAGATTTGGGATTTCTTTTTTGGGCACAGTCGTTTCTCCTGACCCTGTGGCGCTGGGCATCAATATGTAGATTTTCTAATGCCGACCAACAACTGCCTGACGGGCACCAGAGCTGAAGTCGACGTATTAATGGCGACTTATAAGTGACGAGTCAAAGTAGCGAGTACTTGTGGTTTCTGGGACGACCCACTCGGTCCAGGTGTTTCGTGATAAAAGGTTCCTGGTACATGGCGTAGTGTACTCTGGAGGGCTGCGGGATGCGCTGCAGTACTCATGCCTAACGCGTGTGTACCGATACAAGGGAGTCAGGTTTCTATGTGGGCATGGGCCAGCATGTGGACGGCCTTTGCAGCCGACGACGAGGTACCTAGCAGCAGGATGCAACGGCGGATCCCCACCACCCCCGCACTTCTGTCGGTATGTAGATGCATTGGTCGCAGCAGCGGCGGTGGGAGAATCCAGCATGGTCATGCTTGGATTGGTACAGAGACAAAGGGAGGGGGGGGAGCACGGAGAAGATCTAGAGTGAGGCTGCCGGACGTTGTCACGTCGTGGGGTCTCGGGAGGGGGGATCCACAGCGGCGTTGATGTTTGTTTTGTGAGAGTTGACGATGCTGTGTGCTGGATGGACAGGCAGCTCGTGCGACGGCTGAGGGGGGCCAGAGGGTGACATGAGAGATGAGACACCGAGGCAGTATCCCGCCGCGCCTTGGTTCCTTAGACTGTTGTTGTGCCATGTGCCGGTCGTGAGATGGAGCGGATACAGAGGAGATGGGCTCTTACTGCGGTTGATACGTGGTGTGTTTAATTGGCATTACTTCTGGGATTTCCATGGGTGAGGTCATATTCGATACAACTGTTTTTCTTCGAATTTGTCGTCTCACTTCTATGAAAGCTACGAAAGCGGCCACCGGTGAGAGAGGATGGGTGAGGAGGACTAGACGCCTTCATTTTGCCTTGCGGTGCTACCGTGGATGTGACGTCGAACAGAGGCGTGGAGGGAGACTTTTACTCTCCTCTTCCACCTGTTCAATTCAATCTCCTTGTCAGTAGCGGTCGTACAGATGCGGCTTAGATCAACATCAGGGATGCATCATTGGGGTTTCCTGGCAGGCAGACTGGCACAGCCGGCAGTAAGAAGATGATGATCTGACACCTGGTGATTTCTCCTCTCCCTGCGGTGGGCGTGCCGATGAGATGGTGCGCGCTCACTGGCTGCTACGTTACCTTCACAGACGCATGAAACTGAGTATGGGGATCCGGAGATCTACGTAATTAGAGATCTCGTTGGCTTTGAGGCTTGCATTTAGTATCCGTGACTATTGGCAGGTTAGTTTCGCGTCGAAGAGCTGCATACAATAAGGTCCTGCTGGCGCTGGTCTGGACCGAGCTGGCATTAGTGCTGGTGGGGGCTGTAATCTTCAATTGTTCTTGCATGGAATGGGGAGATGATGGGCTGCATCCTCGCATTTGGAGAGTTGATGTTGTAGCTTGACGGATGAATAGTTGCAAGTGAGAACACAACACGAGTTTTCCAACGGTTCGGTCGATCTTCCCTCGAGTTGACCCCTCTGTTCTCAAACGGCCTAGTGGTGATACGAGAAATGAGACGCCAAGATCCGGAGCATGTTGGCCGTCGAAGGAAACACCAAAGAGAGAGTGCTGGCGATATGGCCATTGAGGAGGAGCACTCCCAAAATCGAGATCATTCTCATCTCTCTTACATACTACCTACCTGCAATATCTTTTCTTGTCGTGGCTTTTGGTGATTGGGAAAAGCCGCCCTGCGACAGGGCTGTTGCCCACCTGAGGACTCAACTCCCTTCAGGAGGGACCGCCACCCATGTTCTAATACACCTGAGCAGGGGATCTAGCATACGAGACCCACCTTGAAAGACTGGCGCTCGAACTTGGTGCCGAAGAAATTGCTCTGGAGGCTCTCGGGATGGGGAGATAAGGCACCTCAAAGGGTAGGGCGCAAGGGGCACGGCTAGTCTCTTCCTTGCCATTCGCCCCAGCTGCCCAAGTAAGCCCATGTATCGCCGCCGCTCCACCCCCAGGCCCCTAAGGCTGTTTCTAGCGGATGAGTGAGGGTGAGGTTGTTCTGCTGGTCGAAAGATAATTCCCGCCCGCTCCTCCCCCAGGCGCCTAGGCTTCCTTTTTCCCTTTCCCATAATCACCCCCTTCGTCGTCGGTCGTTTGAGCTTTGCTTTGGCATTGCATTCTGTCGTTGCATTTCCTTTTCTGATCTGACTTTCGCTCGTTGCACCGCATAGGGAACCCACGACCACGGAGGACCAATCACTCGTTCCCGCTGCCTCTCGTTTCTCCGGGGCTTGCATATCCGCCCCTACTGACAAGCGCCTCGTCTGTTCGTCGCATTTTCTGCAGCAGATCTCAGCCACCAAGCTGCTGTGCTACACGAGCCGATCAACCAACAAAAATAAAGAAAGAAAAACCGTAACGGCCCGATCGACAATAACCATCCGATCTCGTTTTGGCCACCCTGGGATTCGACGTCTTTTTTAAACGGTCTCGCCCACGTGTTCTGTCGCAGACGCCTGTTCTAATTTGGGAGGGGAAGTAATTCAGAAGGTGCCTATTCTCACACAACGGCGGCTTTCCGCATTCCAGACCCCCCAAACGCCTTTGAACAAGACACTCGTTCCCCGGATAGGAAACGACAACCCACGCATGCGCTTACACCAACGCTTAATTTAATAATTCCAACATAATACACTACCCGAGCGACTGTTTTCGACCTGGTTCATTGTACATATACATACAACATGTTGCAATCATTCGCCCTTGCCGCCCTCTTGGGTGCCAGCTCAGTCCTGGCGGCAGCCGCCAAGTGTGGTGTTGGAAACAAGTGTCCTAAGGACACACCATGCTGTTCCCGTATGTTTCCTTCCTCTGGATTAATTCTTTTTTACCCTTTCCTTGCAATAAACATATATCTAACTGCTCTAGAATACGGCGAATGCGGCATTGGTGCATACTGCCTTGGTGGTTGCGATCCCCTGACGTCCTTTTCTCTGGATTCCTGCGTCCCTGCGCCTACCTGCAAGGACAAGACTCTCAAGTTCGGCAGCCTTGACAATGTCAAGGATATTGGCGAATATCTTGGTGACTCCGACAAGGCGGACTGGGTGGTGTCAGGAGAGCCTGTCCTGAACGGCGGAAACACCCTGCTTACCATGCCCAAGGGTAGTGTCGGCACTGTCATGTCATCCACAACCTACATGTGGTACGGCAATGTCAAGGCTCGCCTCAAGACCAGCCGTGGGCCAGGTGTTGTTACTGCCTTCATTCTCTTCTCGGATGTCAAGGATGAGATCGATTTTGAGTGGATTGGTACAGATCTTGCCACTACCCAGACCAACTTTTACTTCCAGGGCATCACAAACTGTTCGTAACATACCTCACTCCCACGATGGACGCGTTCACACGTGTGGCTTCCGTGAACTAAGGCTAACCTCCTTTCTAACAAATAGACCAAAACTCCGCCAACACCTCTGTCACCGATACTTTCAACAACTTCCATGACTATGAACTGAAATGGACACCCGACAAGATTGAGTGGTGGGTGGATGGCAAGCTGGGACGAACCAAGGAGCGCAAGGATACCTGGAACGCGACATCTCAGAACTGGGGCTTCCCTCAGACCCCTTCTCGTGTCCAGCTGTCTCTCTGGCCTGGTGGTCTTGAGACTAACCCTCAAGGTACCATTGACTGGGCTGGTGGTAAGATCAACTGGGACTCCGAAGACATTAAGAAGGTTGGATTCTTTTACGCCGAAGTAGAGTCGGTTTCCATTGAGTGCTATGCCGGCAGCAACGGAATCGGTACCAACAAGGGAAAGAGCTACTACTACAATGATCTGCGTGGCACCAACGATACGGTTGTTGATGGCGACAAGGATCACATCATCGCCTCCCTCCAGGCCACCGGTCTGGATATGCAGAAGGGAAAGAAGGACGAGACCAACACCGACAAGGACAAGGATACCGAGGACAAGCAAACCATCCCCGGAGGTTCCACCGGTTCCCCTGGTAGCGACCACAGTGACGAGAACAACAGCACCGACACGAGCAGCGGTGACAACTCATCATCATCAGGAGGCAACAACAACAGCAACTGCGCGGATGGAGACTTCTGCCAGGGTACCTCAACCGACAGCACGACTGACGGCACCAAGGGTGGCAGCGCCAAGTCTAGTGCTAGCGCTCTGGCAATCATCATTGCTGGATTTGCCCTCTACTGGTTATAAGGCCTGATCATTTCGGTGATTTTGTTACGACGGTGGCGTCTTTGTGATTCATTGTATGCATTTTTTTGTCCCGCTCGCTAGTCCGTCCTTTGCATTTAATTTGCGACAGCGGCTGTGAATATCATCGCTCCCTTGACAAGGCAGAGCTTGACCCCTTCCCTCTATATTTTTATCATTTTAGTTTATTGTTTGCTCTTTTCGCCCCCTTAGCATATGGGTTGCATTCGCTGGAAAAGATTAATGGCTGTTGGAGCCGTCCGGTCTCTCTTTGAAGCTCTGATGGAGAGGCTTATGAGGAAGAGCTTTGTAGATATCTCGTGGATTCTTCTATACAAACACTTAGGCAATCCAAGCAATATATACACGCATCAAAATAAAAGCAACATCTCGCGCATCTCGTGTCACCTTGTGTATTGGAAGTTGGAGTCCGCTTGTCTTGGTAGGGCGTGTGTCGCGTTCTTCTTGTTGAACGATGAGACAGTCTTCAACCTGGAAACGGTGAAATCTTTTGGCATTTTGCTTCGCAGAGACCTTAGACTGTTGTGTCTGTAGGTATTCTAGAGCGACGAGATTCTGGAAACGCACACTATATCGGCTAACGAGAGCTATTGCAAACAATTCGCATACTTTTTCAACGGCGACTAGGAAACAACGAGGTCAAGATGGTCTTGTGTAGCTAATTCGAGAAACCACGGCTAGTGTAGGAGCATTTCATGGCGAGGAATTGCCAGCGGGCCAAAAGGTAGGGCCGAGAAAACCAAGCAAGGCTTGTCGCGCGTGTGTCAGTTCCTTATGAACAGGTCCAGAAGTCTAATTGTCCAAGCCAAGCTTGCCTATGACTCTGGGCCAGTCATACTGGGCGACGATGGGGAATGCTTCCCGGAAACCCGGTTTTGTCGTTGAGCCGGACTTGTGACCGTCAGGCAATATGGGTTTATTCACAACCGTCAACTTCATGAACGAGGCTACGAACGGAGAAGGTGTCAACGAAGCTGGTCAGTACACTGAAGCCGATTTTCTATAGCTGCAATACAACTTGATATCGATCGGCATTACGCTGGTCTGATATAGAGTGGTAGGAAGTTACAGTACGCCTATATGTGAAACAGCGAACTTCCCGATTTGAGGAGCTAGGGGAGGGGAAACGCCTCTTGGAAGGCCATCCTTTTGAGTAGCTCGGATGATCGACGTTGCTACGTGTAAAACTCTCGGGGCCAGCCTAATTGATGTTACTATGTTCGCCTGCACAGTAAAGTTAGGGTGGACCATGGGCAAAATGTTCGTCCGAGGAGGGAGGGTCCTCCCATTGAGGAAGCCGCGCGCTCCGGCGCTGCTTTTAATCACTCTTCCATTATGATTGCGGTTTCTGTCACGGTGGCAATAGGAAAATGGCATTGTCCTGTCTTTCTTTTGTTGCGGAGGAGTTGATGAGAGGCCGTTGTGTTCGGCATTGATTGTAGGACAAGCGGGCAAGGTGAGATGGCAGGCAGAGCTGTGATGTATGGCAGAGAGTTTCTTTAAGCCCCCATGTGCCTATTTTAAGGGCCTTGATCGGCCCTCAGCACTTAAATATTCGGTCCTGGTTTTGGCTTCATCAGCTGAGTGATGCTGTGGTGGCTTGCGTAGGCGCAGCCTCCTCCAAGGTGGCTGCGGAACTGGAGCAGCTGGTGCGATGCAGGTCACTGCCGTTGCGGTGGGAGCCCTGGTAGTGCTCAACTATAGCGGTATTCGGTGTTATAGGTGTTTGTGGGGGTCGAAGTTGAGGGCCCCTGTTCGTCTTGCGATTTCTCCGAGCCCCGTAGCCATAGATAGATAGCACTGTCAGATCTTGAAACTGCGGCCATAGTACGGCATGCTATTGCCGCTAGCCCCCAGCCTTATTTTTCGTTTCTTTTCCTGGAGAGGCTGGATGGGAGGCAGAGGCAGGCTGGTGCTTATGACAATAACCTCTACGTTCGCTCAACATCTAATTCCATCAGTCGTAGGTGGGCAGGGCCTGAGAGCCTAAACGGAGGTCCATGTCCTCGTCCATCTTGGCGCACCAAGTCTTGCAAGGAACAGCTTCCGCATGTAAAGTTAATGCCGGACCATCGCAATCATAAAGGACATGCCCGAAGATGGCGAATCTTGGTTCCATCAGGCTTGGACCATGTGCTGGGGAAGGATCGGGTGTTTGAAACACCAGTGGGGCCGGCGTGATTGGCTAGAGTCCTGTGATCGTGATGGAGTGCTTCCGAGTAGTTGATGAAGCATATTTATTTTGAAGACTCCGGGTCATGCAAGTAAGAGGTTTGTAGACCATGGGCATTGTCGCTACGATTGGGTATTAGGCGTCCAACTCTTTTCTGTCTCAGTTGATCAATCTTCCGATTGGTGTTACTTGTGCTCGAAGCATCCACATCGCAGTGCAATGCCTGCCAATCAATCTGCGCGTATAGGCAAAGCAAAACACAGAACAATGAACCGGGGAGTGAACCACGGGAGGATTAAAAATAAAGTAAAACCGGCCCCTATGCACGAGCTCGACTCTGATCAAGATCTCGGACGATTGTTAGTGGAAAAGGAGGTGTTGTAGGACAGAGCGCCCTTGATGGCACATCTGGGTTTCAGGAAAGGGGCCTGCTCCACTGGGGCTTGTCCACGGTCGGCAGTTAGTCTGAAGGATCCAGCGGCTGCACCCCCTAACGCCCCTTCTAAACTCCACTGGCGCAGGGCCTTCTACCAGCTGTACGCCGCCTGCAGTGCTCTGAGTCGCGGTGGCCGCCCAGCCAATCCTTGCCGCCCAGCTGGGAAGCCCGTCCCCCTTGTTTCATGACGAAGCTGCACGGCAAGTCGCAGCGCCCAATGCTTTCAATGCATCTCGGGCTTCGTCTGATATTGATGAGCTTGCCTCCCTCCTACTGGATGTTTCGCGAATCTCCTCCACCCGAGCCTTGTGCTCCTCGGAACACATCATTCACCCTCGTCCCTGCTGACCCCTGCTGTCCCTGCAGGCGACAGCCTTCTTCTTCCCTTTGTGGCTCATTAACCAGACACATCACCTCCATAAGCTTATTATCATGCCGATCAGCACCAGCGGCTGTGTTTCGGCCTCCACTCATTGTCCCTTCCAGCAGCGCCCGAGCCATTTTGAAACGTGAACGACTTGACCAGGGCCCATCCCAGCCTGGATATGCCTGCGTGCGCAGTCTATTGTGCCACCGGTAGTGTGCGTTTTGCTTTGCCGTGCTCATTCTAAGCTGATTTGGCAAGTGTTTAAAGAGATGAGCTACACAATGTGGTTCACCGAGTGGATGTATATATGAGACTCGCCTTCCCGTTCCTTTTTCTCACCTCTGCACTTGTGGACTCAAGCTGGTTTTCAGTTCAAGTTCTCTTTGACATTCTTTCCCTTCCATTGTCTCACCAGTCATCTCTCTGTCCTCCCATTCACTCATTCTCTTCTTCATCCTTTTGAAAAGGTCCCTGTATTTAAAAAGGCTTGCACCTGCTATCTTCTCTTACTCTGCTTCCACGACTTTTTCATACCAACCAAGGAAACAAACACATTCAACTCTCTCACCATGAAGATTCCTTACTCCGCCATCAGTGCCGGTGCCCTCGCCGCCCGTGCCTTGAGAGACGGCTGCGATGGTGGCCGTCCCACCAACCCCGGTTCAAACAGCACCCTCCCTTCATCACAGGTTTTGATGACCACCACTGGCAACGTCTTCCTCGCCAACTATGACGGCTCCAAGTTTGATGTCACCCTCAAGGCCGACGTCACTGGTGCCCCTACCTGGGTCCAGTTCGTTGAGCCCAACAAGCTGTACGCAGTCAACGAGAACGGCGATGACCTTCGCATCTTCAACCTTGAGCGCGGCAACGGCAAGAATGGCTCCGCCACCCTGACCGAGTCGGTCACCGCCACTGGCAGCTCCGGTGTCGTCCACCTCGGCTTCAACAAGGACAACACCCGCCTTGTTGGTGCCGCCTACGGTAACGGTACTGTCGATGTTTGGGACATCGCCGGAGGCAAGCTCGAGCTCATCAAGACCATTCCTGCTCCTGGTACTCCCGGCCCCAAGAGCCCCAACCAGGATGCTTCTCACCCTCACCAGGCGAACCTCGACCCCTCTGGCCGCTACTTCGCCATCAACGATCTTGGCTTCGACAACATCATGATCCTGGACACCCAGGATGACAAGTACGAGATTGTCCAGAACATCCCCACTAAGGCTGGCTGCGGTCCTCGCCACGGTGTCTGGTACCCTTCCAACACCGGCGAGGCTACCCACTACTTGGTGGTCTGCGAGATCTCCAACGAGATCATCGTCAACCAGCTCGGCTACTCCGCCACCGGTGTCACCGTCAACCAGTCCCAGATCATCTCCACCTTCGTTTCTGGCACCGCCCCCGAGGGTGCTGCCGCTGGTGGAATCGTCCTTCACCCTAGCAACAAGGATGTCTACGTCACCAACCGTCTCACCGGCGCCGACTCCGACACCCTCGCCCACTTCAAGATTGACGGCGGCGTCCTCACCCCCGGCAAGGAGGTTGCCACTGGCGGTGTCCTCCCCCGTATGCTTAGCATCAGCGCAAGCGGCTCTGAGATCTTCCTCGGTAACCAGAACGGCCCTGACGCCGCTGTTGCTTTCGGCATCAACGAGGATGGCTCCGTCACCGAGACCCCCAAGGCCACCCTTCCCCTGGCTGTCTTTGGCGAGAAGGGCTTCGGTCCCCCGTACATTGCCCAGATCTAAGAAAAAAAAAGTTACTAGATTTGGTAACAGGTTGGCTGAGTGAATTTGTACATAAGGGACTCGCCGGGCGGGTTCCGTTCGCTTCTACGACAAACGTATATAACGATTAATTCCCCAGGGAAAGGGCATGATTTGAATAGAAAAAGCTAAATTCTTTTTTCCGCCAACTGGTTGCCACTGCTTTATTGTGATTGTTTATGTGTTGGCTGCTGTGCTCTAATCTTAAATGCTTCGTGAACAAAACGTAACTGCTCAGAAACACCAAAATGTCTTCCAGGGTACGAGGACACTTTCGTGTTGTTCAAAGGACTTCACGCTTGATGGTGGGCTCAGAATGAGTATCATGTATGTTCAATCCGCTGTAGTGTAACTTAATATCAGTTGTACAGAAAGCAAGACCGTAGTACCTCTAGAGCTTCATTTTCATCGCCTGCCAAAACCAAAATCATTCCAGTCAATTTTCACATAGGTACAGTCACGCTACCAAATAGGAAGAATCTACATCAAAAGAACCACCATGGATGCCAGGCTGACCCCAAGAAGCGCCTTGCTAAGGCGACACAATGGCCCGGCGGCGCTGTCATCGCTTTCGTGGCCAAGCAAGTTGTCGATGCTTCCTTCGCGGGTGTTCCCCGAAGGCCCCGTATGCTCTGCTCCTGAGGCGCTGGTGGTGCTGGTGACGAGGCTTGGGGACCCGGTGGCGAGGTCGAGTGCCTCCGTCGCGGAGGAGATGAGTGCGATTTTGGTCGTCAGCGGCTGGTTCGTTTGTGTGGAGGATGCGGTCTTGGAGCTCGATGTCGAGGTCGCGGACTTTTGGTTATTGTTGTCATTGCTGTCGTTGCCGTTCCCGCTGTTCTCGGTATCGTCATTGTTGCTGCTGTTGCATGTGCCCTTTAGACCGTCGAGGTCTTTGGAGGAGGTGATTTTGGAGACAGAGCTCCCGCAGTTTTCATACGGTGCCATGAAGATTGTGTCTGAGTCCAAGTCGAAGACAACTGGTAAGGGAGGAAAGTTAGATTTTATATCGTCACGGGAGGAATTTTCTTTTGAATAGATAATACGGACCGTATGCCGAGCGGAGGAACGTGTCACCAAGCAATGAATACTTATCACTGGCAGCAATACCAAGGTAGCACTTCTTCATCGAGGAGAATTCCCTGATGATCTCCTTGTAGGGGACCTTGATCGTTACGCCATTGAACTTGAAGTCCACAGTTCCGGGCTGTGAAACGAGGCTGCAGTCCACACCGTAGAATCCAGCGTCATCTAATCCCGTGGTCTTGAGATCAGCAGCAATGGACTTTACCACGTCACTGGGTAACAGCGTGAGTGTGGCTCCGGTATCAAGGAACACGGACAGTTTTGTGTTATCCCATGTCTTTCCCTTGCCGTTGTTGGGAGGACTGTGGGAGATTGACTCCATAGATACCCAGTATCTCGCCACCTTGTCAGGCGCATCGGATGCAGCAATCAAGGGGAGGCTTGCAAGCTTGCCAGAGAATTTGGAGGTGTCCACCCCGCCAAAGACGATGACGCCGCCATCCTCGGCCTTGCTGCCCAGCGCAACGCTGAACGATTTCTTGTCAATGAGCTTCTGGTTTGACAGCTCATCCAGGAAATTGGGGTAGTCCGTGTTGAAGCCTTTTCCATGGCCGAGACCCAGCACGCCTGCGAACTGGTCCTCGGTCTTGGAGGCCACGCCGAAGCGGACGTTCTTGAGCTTGGAGGAGCTCGAGAGGCCAATCGTGTCCGAATAGTAGTCGACTTCGGCGCCGCCAATGCCGTAGTTGAGCTTCCCGCTCTTCGACAGAGATTTGGACGTTGAGGAGCTTCCGGGCTTGTATTTGCCTACAGCCTCGCAGAACTTGGCGTCGGAGGTGGACAGGCCGGAGCATGTGGGATTTACCCACAGCTCAAAGGAGCCAGTGTCAAGCTGAGCATAAATCGCCTGGGAAGGGGTTCCGAATTGGACTGTGCATTCTGCATTAGCATTCTCGTCTACGAGTATATATTAGATAGGAGTGAGGCTTACGTTGAGCATAGTATGCGACATCGGACCGGTTCTCAAGCTTCACCTCGACGGACCGACTTACTAGCCCGGGCCTGGTGGCATGAATGATAGGTAGAGTCAACGTTCCTGGCACTACTTCATCCTCGGTTGGCAAGCCTCGTGTTAGACCGACGGGCAGGGTATATGAAAATTCACTTAGATCCTCGTCGACTGGGAGATCGGGCTGTCGTGTGGAGGGGATATGCAATGTCTCTGAAGATTCGGCTTCATCGACCTGTGGCAGTGACCTGGCGGAAACTCGCGTATACGGAATGACTGACGTTGATTCGACTGCTGGTGCTAACTGAGGCCACGAGTGGACGACGCCTGCCCAGACAAGGAGTTCAACTAGCGAAGTTGGTCTGGTCATCTTGACAGTGATTCGGCACCTGGCCGAAAGATTATTCTGTATAGAACGACAAGGTAGTAATAGAATTTGAGGGATACCGGTATCCCCGGAACGGACGTGAACGGCAGATGAGCGACCTGCGACCAGCGGCTCGAGGTGAAGGAGCAAATGAATAAAAGGAACGTCTTGACCAAAGATCGATGTGATGCTGGGGGCTATCTGCACAGTCTTCGCCGAGCCACCGATAGAATAATCACTACGAACAACGAAGGAGCGACAAGTAGGTCACAGAGGAACCTGTTGAAAGAAGGCAACAATCAATCAAGCAATAGCTTTTCATTTAGAATACATGGCAAACCGAGGCCGCCGCCGCCCCCTGCATCTTGGCATCCGGAACGCGTCTAGATCCCACGTCGACTTGCATACACAATCTTTTTCAACATGATTAAACCATGCTATGTCGCTTGGCTGTTGTCGAATGCGTGTCGTCGGTTCCCTTTGAAGAAGCTCCAACGCCCGCTAACATCATAAGCTGCGGTACCTAGCTCGGATTTGGGGATAGGCTAGGGGTCAGGGGCAGAAGAGGCTTAAGATGAAACGCTGAGCAGGGGGCAAAGCGGAAGGTTGCAATTAGTCTCATTGAGCTGATAGGCCAAAGCTGTGAAAACAGTGGTTTTGTACATGGTGGCGCAGATGAAACTGACAAGGTCGGAATCGGGTAGGATAGGTGTTTCTGGAGCGAGGCGATCTGCCGATCTTGAACACCATGACGATGATTGCTGACGGTCTGACATTGCTGACCCCCCTGAGCCGTTTTGGCACAATCATGCATGGTAAAACGCCACATTGTCTGGAGCTTGATAGGGTCTAGGTGCTTGAGTCCGTAACAGAATATGAGGCAGCTGAGGCCGCTTGGAAAATGGCAACACAAGATGCTTCACAGTTGGTGAGTGAACAACTCTGGGCGGTTTGAAGGATATTTGAGGAAAACAGTCATGCTAATATCCGTTTCCGAATTCGGTACAGGTGTTGTAGATCATGGGCGACATTAAGGTAATTACTTCCCGTCTCAGTGTCTCTGGAAGCCGAGTCCCGACAGTACGGCAACCGACACCGTTTCCGTGTCGCTTTCGGATCATGCCAAAGCAGATGAGTCGCACTTGATCGTTGCAACACAACGGCTCGTTCAAATAGACACACAGCGATGTCGCTGGTGGGGCCCCTGTTGCAGTTGACTTGATCCAAGACCTCAAATCGAAGCGTCGCTGAGAAACATGAGACAGTCACGGACATTACCAATGTGGTTACAATAGTGCGATCGAGAGGCATGGAAAACGCCTCGTTGTTAGCGGTCATTTGGATACCTACCCAATTGGAGATGCACCAAACTGGACTCTTCCCCTCCTCCCTGGAAAGGACTACTGGGATGGAGAGGCTGTCATTGCTCTCCCGGGTGACGAGGAGACTATGGGGACGTTGGGCTCGGGCTGTCTGCTCGATAACGCGAGTGCGGTGTAATGTGACACTATGATATGTGGTGATACAAGGTCGCCTCTTGTTGTCAGAATCGGAGAGAAGGGACTCATCTGGGTCAAATCGACGTCAAGTAGAAAACCAGTGCATGACGCTCATTTGCACATAGGCGTCAATGCCATTGACCTCCTTCTCAGGGCTCTAAAGGCGCCTAAGAGCCTAGAATGGAAGCTATCGAAGGTAAATGAGGACGTGAAGGTAGTGATTGAGACGGTCCAGTGTATTTTGATACTTGAGCGAATCACTGTCAGTGTTGGGTCTCTTTTAGGAGGCACCACTCCTAATCTTGTCCCTGATGCGACATCTGCTGCAGCTGATATACGAATCGTCATGGGTATTTCAGCAGACGATTCTGTCAGAAAAACATACAAACGCCTTGATGACCTTCAAGGGGTTAGTTTCCGTGGGTTGCGCAGTATAGTCTCTTGGATATGTCCGTCAGAGGACTTTGTGAAGCTTTCTCTGGAAGTGTCTAGATCTGTGGTGAGGCCCCGGGCGGCTGTCAACATGCGCGTAGGTGCTTCTGATTCCCGGCTCTTCCGTAAGCGCGGGATTCCGATGGCTGTTGCTGGCCTGACACGGCATGGAATGGGAGGGGCAGATGAACACTTGATGGCCGAAGAATTGGTCTAGATTGCGCAAATACATGCGCTGGCTGCATTGGGTTGTCTTGCACCGGCTGCTGGAGAGAACCTTGATAGATAGGCAATGCCACGGCGATGGTGCCTGATGAGACCCAAAGCGCATGCCGACTATACAGCTGATATGTGCCGAGTAGTCATCTGGATGGTTTGGAACATGAAGTGCGCTACCTAGTTCCAGTCGACGCATTTGACAAGATAGTCGCATAGATGACATGGACCTCTCGGAGGGATTGAACTTGCGGCACGTGCCGCCGTGCGAGTTGTTGCGCCGGTCTGGCACTTGGATTGGGCAAGAGGCAGGCACTTGGGAAGTAGTTCCCTCTTTCCCCGCTGCACGTCTCTGCATCGCGGCCACCACCAGCCACCAGACACTCGTCGCTCCTCGCCTTTTCCTCCATCCAGCGAACTCACGCATTCCGCCCTGTTCTATCTACATACCAATGGTTCCATCCACCCGGTCGCCAAGAACGAAGGACAAGCCGCTGGCGAACCATGCGCAGGCTTGCGACGAGGCCATTGGTACCCAACGAGGCCCTCCTCCGTTGAGGAGCCATGCTGCGGCCGCATCGCGTTGAAAGTTGGCTCTCCTTCGGACGTCAGCCAGCCTACCATCGTGGCCAGCGAAGCCGGCAGCAAAATGGATGGATGGGTGCATCATGGATGGACGAAATCGAGGCTGGTTGGAGGGGCGGGGTCCAACGGGCTATAACCAACGGCCCGCGTGTGGTCCCCGACTTTTGGGCGCAATGCGTTGTCCGACACACATATGTTGGTTCTGGTCACCCGATGCAGAGGTATTGTGTGCATTGCATGGGTCAGCTTCCGTGATTCATTTCGCTGCGCTACACCAGTGTAGGTTGCATCGAGGCGCCGAACTCGAAAACGTTGGCTGCAGCTGGGCCGCCCATCCACACTCTTGCCCTCTCCCATTCCCGCATCGTGGTTGGATGGCATCAGCACGCAGGACGCCTTCTCGAGCGACACCCACTTTCATTGACCAGCCCCGGAGAGGAGAGGCACTTTGTTAGCGCCCCCGAATTTCACTCTGTGGCTTCTTATTTTCTTCTATTCACCTCAACTCTTGTGGCACCGCTTTGCGTCTCTGATTCCAGATATACTCTGACCGCCTGTTTTGGGACGTTGTTTCCATCAAGCACCAGTCTTGTTCTAAGCAATTCTGACCAAGATATTGCGTCGATGGAGAGAGCATGGGTTGCGCTCTCTGTGTGCTCTATCAAGTGATTTTCAGAGCGTGCATATGCACAGCTGTAGGCTCGTCCCCTCCAACTCGAGCCTTGATTTAATCGATTGGAAGCCGTTGACGGACGAGCCACCCCGCAACGGTGCCATTGGGCTCTTCAAACCCACCATCCAAAAGTGCGCCTCGACTGTGATACGCCAAAGCATGGCAATGGAAGCCCAGGCGTGCATGTCTTACAGTCTCTCGCCACGATGGACGCATGCAGGTTGATGCACTAGCCCTCCCATCATGTCCCACATCATCCCATCCAGGACCCGGACGGACCTTGATGGAATGAGGGTATGCGCCCTCGGTTGCCTGATAAATAGCACCACTCAGTTCCTCTCCTGCGCCGGCCTATACTCGATTGTTCCACGTCTTGTGGAAAGATGACAGCAACATGTGTTTGTTTGTCTCTTGCCATTCCCTGCACTTCCCTGTGACCCCTGCGTCTACAGCTCCTGTCGTTCCGACGGAGTGACACTGTCTACGGCTCCATCCTGCTATTGGATAAGGCACACATCTCATCCAGCAGTGTGGATGTATATCCCTCTGTCCCTGCCACCTCTCCGGTCGTTGGCGCCGTATAAGCGTCATGACCCGGGGAAGCGAGACCAAAGCCAGAATCAGAATCATGAACGCCACTTTCTGCAAGAGATTGCTTCCATGCAAAGCGCCGTCAAGCGCCGCCAGTTCTCTGAAAATGGCACCGAGAATGCAAATATACGGACAGGCCTCATAGTAGGTCTTGTCCTCGCCTTTTTCCTCATCGGTGCCTGCGTCTTCTGTTTCATGTATCGCTATACGATTCGTCTTTCCCACAGAAAACGGCACCGTAAACATCATCATCGTAGTAGCAAGAGCTCCAAAGGAAGCTCTCGAAGTTCTGGGAGCTCGAAAAATTCCGATGGAGGTGCCGCCGAAGCACCACCTGCAGCAGAAGCGGCAGCTGCAGATCCTCCAGCTGCTGATCCGCCGCCAGAGGGCTGAAAATCGTCCCATAAAGGGTTGGAAATTGTGCTATTACCGTACGTCTTTCCATGCTCCTTCTGTCCGTCAGCGCTGCTAACGTTTCTGTCACAAGTTACTTTCTTCTTAGTTCCCACCTTTGCGGGTTTTGACTCTGTATTATGGAAGCGATTCATCTTGTAATCTGGAGTTGGGAGTCATTTCAAGGGAAACAGCCTCTGAAGGTTCCGTTTGGGAAGGAAAATGGGTCTCATATCTGGATTTCGCTGTCTATACTTTCACCTAATCGCCATCTTGACCATGGCCTTTCCTGATACAATTCTTCCAAGTAGTTGTGCCCAGTTCTTCATCCGTCTCCGGTTCCAGAACGTCATGCATAGAAGATATTATGAGCCATCTTCTGTGGAGTTCGAACTCCCACTGCAGTTGAAATCTGTGCAAATAGGGCTCTCGGCAGGCATTCGCGAGCCGCCAGGAGGTACCCCACGGCAGAATCTAAACATTGAAGCAGGCAGGGGATGGTAGTTGATATCAGGATAATAGACAGCATCTGGGGGCAGATCCTGAGGCGCATCCATCGCAGCGGGGACACTATATGGATGGGGATGCCCCTGGCCATCAACAGGCACCATCATGGGCTGCGAAAAAGGACCGCCAAATATATGCGTATCACCTGAATATCGCATTTTCATCCGCTTTCTTTCTTTCTCCCTCCATTGGTGTTTTTCCAACTTTGCAATCTTCTCCTCAGTTTCCTTTCGCCTCTCCCTTCGCCTCTTCTTCCTCTTCGCCTTCTCTTCCTCCATTCGTTCCTCCTCCTCCTCCTTTTCTTTTTTCTCCTTCTCCTTCTTTTTCTTCTTCTTCTCCTTCTCCTTTTCAACCTTCTTGGATTTATCAGCCTTTTGCCCCCCTTTATGGTATCTAAAGTGGATGGTGAGAATAAAGATCAAAACTAGCAGGACGACGACAGCAACGACAATCCCAATGATGGTGCCTTCGTCGGAACTGCGTCTACTCAGATGAACACTTGTGATTCTATCCGAGGGATCGATTCGCGCCTCTCTAATATCGGAAAGGTTGCTGCTCAGAGAAGTACTAACAGATGAGGCGTCGCGAGGATGGGAGTTGATGATCGTCGAGGCAGTGTCGGTAGGATCGTGTGCTCGACCCTCCCCTTGAGATTGTCTGATACCCAGGGGCGCCATTTCATTTTGACCTGGAGTTTTAGCACATATTTACGCCGAGCTTCGTATTCTCTCTTGCTTCTGGGGAGATTCAATGAGGTCTGTAGAGAATCGTTTGCTCGCGCCAAATATATACTGATTTTGATGTCGTCGTCTGGTGCTGATGAATGGGACGGTCCACAGAACTTGGCTATAATGACCGGGTTTGGTCTCACATCCATATTGCTGGGGCAAACTCGTTCTGTATCATAATTTCAGTTGTTTGATCATAGTCATGATGATTGTATGCCTCCGTTGTTGCTGGCGTACAAGCTCAGCCTCTCGCCGAGGGAGTGCGAACTGCCAGCCAGCCCAGGGTGCCAGCTCAGTCTTAAATCCCGTCATTCCACTATCTATAGAACGGTGCTTGGACACGGCATTACGAAATACGCCTAATTTATTTCTCCCCCGTGCCTGAGAAGCCCGAGGGCGCCCACTCCTAAAATGCGTTGCACCCATCGTGACCTTTTATTGGCAAGGGAGGAAGCACATGATGACACAGAGGCGCTGAAACAAAGCACAAACTGTTGTCAATTTTATCAAGTGATTTCGCTCTAGTACTGCTGGATTTTTGCCAAGTTTGCCCTTACTTTCTCCTCTTTCCCATTGCCTTCTCCCGTTTCCGATCCCAGATGTGGTTTCTGTTCCCTCGCCCAAGCCAGTGGCACTCTTACATATTAAACTATAGACCCAAGCCCGAATACCGGTACCATTCAAATCTTGGGACTGACGTGATGAATTCAAGCAAGGCGGCGAAGCTACTCTTCCAGTTCCTTCCACTGACTCCTCTCTGCCCTCCTGGCATGTTCAAGGATGTCCTCCACTGTAGAAATGTAGCAGTCCGTAGCCTCTTTAATGTGCTTGCAGTATTTCTCGCTCTTATCTCTACCTTGATCCTCGACAAGGATCTTGGAGAGAGCTTTGGATCGCTCTTTAATTGCTGTGACTAACGTTGGTATTCTGGGATTCGTCTCGTTGCCCGGCGCAGTGGTGGTGGGCAGGGTCGTGGCCGACTCTCCCTGTACCTCCTCGGTCGGTTTGCCCGTGTCCGATGCTCGGTCACTGTCATAGATTGATGACGAACACCACAGCTTTTCTTCAGATGTGTTGTCGCGGGGATGTTCCGGAAGGCCCCGATCGTGTTTGACAGGGACCTGTGACGAAGCATCTTTGTAGCCTGGCAGGGGCGAAGACCTGGGTGAGAGTGGATAGTTGTAGTGATAGCCTATCGTGATCGTCTCTGGGGAAGATGGCGAGCCTTTCCTGTATCGATCCCCGTGTTTTTTCCCACGGTATGCGTGCCATCGCTGAATGATGCATTCAATTATTTTGCAGTTGAAGGGGACGGGACTCGGGCAGAAATAGGTGGTTGTCTCCTCCGGCGCTGGAGGTTGGAAGTCCGCAAGCCCTTTACGTGGTGAAATGGCGCTGGAGCGGTCCAGTTTGATGAGGCACTGGGCGAGCCTCTTTGAACTTCTCATGTCTGAGTCGCCGTGCTCGCGGGAAGTGAGGGATTGGGGATGGTCCGTCGTCTTGGTCTGTCTTCATACTGGGATTTGAACTTCTTTTACAGTCACATCTACGGTAATGATGGAGTCTAATTTGATCCGCTTGATTGATGGCAAATGTGTGAATAGATCTTGGAGAATGGAAGCCAATTCCAAGATATCTGATTCACCGGCAAATGAACTGATCATAAAGATGCAAGATGTTGACCTCGGGGTGTATGAGCACAAATGGCGGTCACTTCGTAGCAAACGGACGGCTGGAAGCTGATTCTGCCTGTGATTTGACATGCCATATTGAGGTATGTATGGGCTCTGTTTTCGGATCGAAATGACGAGAATAGATTGCGCTATGAGCTGGTATCTGTCCTCATTTGGTATCTTACGCTCTGGAGTATGGCTGTGAAAGAGCTGCTTGCTCGAGGCTCATATGAAAATATCGTGACGGATGGCACATGGACAATCATGAAGACCTAAAGGCTCTCCTGCCACAGATTGAACTCGCCAAGCTGGATGAATGCCTTGTTTTACTGACCGTCACGGAGCCGGCCTACACATACAGCTGACGATAACGCGATGATCCTTACGGAGAAGCTCACCCATATGAAACAAGTTGATCTTGGTGCCTTACACTAGCGTTATGTGATGCAATTGCCTCAAGATAGCGTGGTTGAACTTTGATCATCTTGCTGCTGGGTTTACTCCTCTGCTCCGTATTCAAATCAGCGATACGGAATGTTGGAGCGCACCACGTTAGTGACCTTTATGGTGTACATGCTATCTTCCCATCCCACACCCGACGATTTATTTGGGGGTTTGGTAATTGTTTGGATAAGCTACTGTATCAGCTAGATAAGTTCTCTGGTGATGGAGGGTGAGAATGTTTGGCTATCCCCGATGCAAACCAGCTACGATTTGCACTTGATGAAAGCGCATATCATGCTGCCCTGCTGCTTGAATGGCTCGACTATCAATTGCCAGTTTCCACTCATCCCACAAATGGACGATTCTGTAATTGATGAAGACTTGACCTTTTGTTTGGCCCATGGAGATCATCGAGGAGGCATTGGAGAAGGCGGATCTCGCCGGTAAGCGAACACTAATGCACCGGTGGCTTCCAATGTGCATTAGAGGCTGAATTCTAGATAGATATGACAGGCGGGATGATACCAATTTGTGGGATATGTACGTACATAAGCCATCTCAGCCCTGGCGAGGGATGTCCATGTCCCACAATCAACGCCTCATCCGCCGAACCAGCCACCCAGGTCTTGCCCTCGACGCCCCCGTGGGGAGCAGGGCCTTGCTTGGCTTGATGGCTTCTGATAAAGGCCTGCGATGATTAATGAATTGCCTCGTCTCCGCCTGGAGCAAGGCCTTATCAGAGCGACCCCGGATCCTTATCAGCCAACCCCACCCGTTTGATTGCAACGCTGCTGATGACAGTAAAGGTTATGACAGAAACCTGCCTCCTTATCTCGAACTCTCCCAGTTCCAGCTGTGATCGTCGACGAATCACGAACTACACGGGGGCCTTTGCCCCGGGCGAGGTGTGTGCCGGGATTTCCCTATCATTCACCTTCAGCCATCTCCAGACCGGATGCTACCTCGATAGAGTTTCTCCCCCGGACCGTGCAGCAAGTGCCGAATCAGTTCGACGAGCCTTATCAACCAGTAAGCTCACCATCTTCGAAACTCTGCTCACAAGCCCCTCTCCCCCGAGAGATGACATCGCTGCGCGTATGGCGATCTAGCGGCAGAAAAGGGCGGGGAGGTGATGGGGGCAGTTATCATGAATGTGAATTGTTATATAGTTTGAGATCGCCACGCCCTGCAGATCATCTCGTTCAGAAGTTCCAAAGGGTTTCAGAAGATATTTTGAATAATATTGAGCATATCTGAGTCCATTCCCAAGGAATTGCGTGACTCCCACATCCACACCTTCTCCCATCCTTCGCGCATTCATCGACAGAGACATGGCAGGCGGAGGCGGAGCGTCCTCGGGCGCCATCGCACCCCCTCTGAGCCAGGCTTATGGCTATGGCATCGTTGTTGGTCTCGGGTTCCTCTTCGCCCTGGGTATGATAGCCACGACCTGGGTTTTGAAACGGTAGGTTGATTGAGCCCATTGCTTACTGGGTTATGCTTTTGGCTCACACCTTGCTTTCATTTTCACAGGTACAACAATGAGAAGCAAACCTCGGAAATGTTCAACACGGCTGGTAGAACAGTCAAGTCAGGACTGGTTGCTTCTGCTGTGGTGTCTAGTTGGACATGGGCCGCGACTCTACTCCAGTCTTCTGGAGTGGCATACAGATATGGTGTATCTGGACCATTCTGGGTAAGGAATTTTCCTACACCCCATCACAAGCCATCCTCATGATTCATATCATGTCGATGCTATATGTGTGTACGCGGGAGACACAATAACTGAACGTTTGCGCAGTACGCTTCCGGAGCCACTGTCCAGATCATTCTCTTCGCAACTCTGGCAATCGAGCTCAAGAGACGAGCACCCAACGCGCACACCTTCCTCGAAGTCATTCGCGCCCGCTACGGTACGTGATCTACTTCATATCTTGACCATGTGAGCTGTTACCTTGGACGTGGCACTGACCCCCGAGAACGACAGGCCGTGTCACTCATTGCGTATACATCTGCTTTGGATTGTTCACCAACATTCTGGTCACCGCCATGCTGCTGACAGGTGGTTCCGCTGTTGTGACATCTCTCACGGGAATGCACACTGCCGCTGCTTGTTTCCTCCTACCTGTCGGCGTTGTTCTTTACACCATGTTCGGAGGGTAAGTCTTCTGTGACCGAGTGTGTCTTGCTCAAGACTTGACTAATATGACCCCTCTGTCAGAATCAAGGCAACGTTCCTCACTGACTATGTACGTATTACCAACCGTTCGCCTTGACCACATGCAATGGCCAGTCGTGACTAATTTGCTCCGGCTCTAGGTTCACACCGTCATCATCCTCGTCATCATCCTCATCTTTGCCCTCACCGCGTACGCCACTGGCACTGAATTGGGCTCCCCCTCCGAAGTGTACGACAGGCTCGTGGAAGCCGCTGCTTCGCACCCTGTTGATGGCAACGCGGAGGGCTCATACCTCACCATGAGGTCCAGGGAGGGTATCATCTTCTTCGTCATCAACATCGTCGGCAACTTCGGTACAGTGTTCATGGACAACGGTACGTGTGACCATTTCCTCTGTCCCTGACCTCATCAAGAAGCATCCGAGTTGCTGACTACTGGTTCTCCAGGTTATTACAACAAGGCCATCGCAGCCCACCCGGTTGCAGCCCTGCCTGGGTACATCATCGGAGGCTTGTCATGGTTCGCAATTCCCTGGCTGTGCGCCACCACCATGGGACTGAGCGCCCTGGCTCTTGAGAGTAGCCCGTCCTTTCCGACCTACCCCGACCGCATGAACGCGGCCGATGTGTCTGCCGGCCTTGTGCTGCCGTACGCGGCAGTCGGCCTGCTCGGCAAGTCTGGTGCCGTCTGCACCCTGATCATGATCTTCATGGCGGTGACCTCCGCCGCCTCTGCCCAGCTCATTGCTGTATCTTCGATCTTCACCTATGATATTTACAAGTATGCTTACCTCTGGATCTTCATCAGTGGCCAACCTGGACTGACTTGTATTTTAGGACCTATATTAACCCCCAGGCCTCAGGCCAGCGTCTGATCGCCATGTCTCACTCTTCCGTTATTCTGTACGGTGTCATCATGGCTGGATTCAGCGTCGGGCTGTTCTACGCCGGCATCAGCATGGGGTGGCTCTACGTATGGATGGGCGTCATGATCTCCGCGGCCGTTATCCCGGCCGCCCTCACGCTTCTCTGGTCGCGCCAGAACTGGATCGCCGCTGCCGTCTCCCCCGTCCTCGGGCTCATCTTTGCCCTCATTGCCTGGACCGTCACCTGCGCCAAGGAGTACGATGGCGTCCTTACGGTCGAGACGCTCGGGTCCAACAACCCGATGTTGGCAGGAAACGTCGTCGCCCTGCTCAGCCCCGTCATCCTCGTTCCTGTGCTGACTTTTGCCTTTGGCGCCGACAACTACGACTGGGCGTCAATGGCTGCCATCAAGCAGGGTGACGATGCAGACTCATCGGACCTGGTCATTGAAGATTCGGAGAATGGGCCGGTCGCCGGGTTCGTCGTCGTGGCCCCCGAGGAGGACAAGGCGAAGCTCAACAAGGCCTCCAAGGTGGCCAAGATCATGACCGTGTGCATGACCCTGGCGTTCCTGGTCCTCTGGCCGATGCCCATGTACGGCTCGTCCTACGTCTTCTCGAAGCCCTTCTTCACCGGCTGGGTCACGGTGGGCATCATCTGGCTGTTCGGGAGCTCCATCGCTGTTGGTCTCTTCCCCCTCTGGGAGGGTCGGCACAGCATGATCCGCGTGTTCAGGGGCATGCTTGGCAAGGGGCCGAAGTCGTCTGGCATGACAGTGACGGAGGAAAAGGTCATCGACGATGAGAAGGCGGGAGATAAATCTTAGAAGATTAGGCAAATTGAATAGTCAAAGATGGTTTCTCTTTAATCTTTAATTATTTAATAGAAATGCTGATAGCTGCCAATATACATTCTGGGCTCTTATTTTCATATCCATATCAAGTGGAAAAAGTAGCAAATGGACAATCAACTCTCGCAGAACTAGACGAACTAGAACGCACGAAGAATGGAAATGGCCTCTAGTCAATTGGGTGACTTATCATCCAAGACACAGACCGTGAGGTAAGAGAGATGGAAGTGGAAGGAATTCGTGCGTGGGTATATAATTCATCAAACCGACTGCGAGTCAAACATGCACACAGCTTGAACTGCGTACTCTAGGATATCTCGGAAATACCAAAATGCTTGCATACCAAAACGCCAGAGGGGAAAAAAGGAAAAACAGAGGAAGAGCGACAAGAGAGGAAAAAAAAACCATTCAGAGATCACTTGCTCTTCAAGCAGCAGGCTGCCTGGTTTTGCCGTTCACGTAACTCGGCGCATTGTCAACAAACAGTCGCCGCCCCTTGAACATGCTGACGAAGAAGCCAGGAATTTTCCAGTTGCCGATCTGGCCTGACGCACGCCACCGACCAAAGCAGAAGAATATGATGGTCTTGTTGGTCGGGTGGTATACTTCCATCGAAGACCCCACGCCGGTCAAGACGGCCTCGAGAGCGGTGACGAGGTGCCCGGTCTGGCCCTCCAGAGCAACGAGAAGCTTCGCCTCCACGTTTCCGACGTCGCCGACTCCCCAAATGTTCCGTGTCCCCTGTACGCGGAGGGTCTCGTCTAGCTTTAGGTTGCCTTCCCAGTCCAGGAACTCTTGGGGGATGCAGGCGTTGTTCACGACGACGCCGTACAGCGGGAGGAATAGGTCTGCATAGATGGTGCCCCCCCTGGAGAGATGGATCGATCTCCTATCCCCATCCTCGCTTTTCTCAGCCCGGTTGTGATGGATGATCTTCACCCCGAGCTTGAGCAGGTCCTTCTCGGCGGTCACGCGCACGGCTTGCGTCTGATCAGCCAGCACGAGGTTGCTATTCTCGACCAGGGTGATCTCCTTGGAGCGCCCGTAGTGAGAGGCGAGCTCCCCGGCCACCTCGACGGCGGTGGGCCCCGATCCGCCGATGACAATGGTTCTGGCCGAGGCGATCCTGGCCTGCAGCTCGTGGAACGCCGCCAAGGTCTCGGCGTGGCTCCCCACCGCCTTGAGGGGCAGGTTGTGGAAGACGCGGGAGCCGACGGCGATGACCAGCTGGTCGTAGGCAATCTCCCTCATGTCCTCGCCGTCGCTCAGCTTGGCCCCGCAGTCGCCCAGGCGGACTGTGACGGTGTTGGACTGGGGCTCGATGCTCTCGGCGGTCGCGACGACGAACTCAAAGGCCGTGGTCGGGTACTTGGCAAAGGCCGGGGCGATGGGGACGAAGAGCTCGTCGTCGGTGAGGGTGTTTGGGATGATGCCGCGCGGGGCGGCAATGTTCCAGAAGAAGTGGGTGTTTGGGGACACGAGGATGACCCTCAGCTCGGGGACCTTGGGGAGGACGTGCTTGAGGAGCTGGTGGGTGAGGGTGATGCCGGCCCACCCCGCGCCGAGGACGACGATGGTCTTTGTTTCAAAGTCTTGCATGGCTACTCAGAGGCAAGTGGGTTGCGGGAAGTTGACAGTGAAAGAAGGATGTGATGAAGGTAAGATGTATTCTATTCTTGTTCAGGTTCCAAGCAAGGGACTCATCCAGGCTCGCTGTTGATAACACATAAAGAATATGATGGAATCCCAGCTTCTTTTGCCCAGAACTACCAGACGATGGTTATAGAACCCCGGAACTAGGAACAGAAGGCGGGTATACTTGTGTAACCGTTGCGGCGAGAGATGCTGGTCTTGCGGCATAAAGATGAGTGAGTCGACGACTCGATATGCAAGGACATTTCCATGTTATGTACTCTAATGCTGGAGACGGGCGAGCTGGGGGTCGGCCTGGCTGCGATCGAGAACAGTCCAACCCGAGAAACCGGGACAAATCGCGTTGTGAGGCCATGGCAGAAGTCGACGGCCAGATGTAAGTGAGTGGTTCGAGCTTGCTCAGCTTCTGGGTCGACATTCGAATCCGAACCCGGGGCCTCCTGGACTCTCAGCCGTGTGGGCCGGGAGGAGCCCTGATCCCATCCCGCCATCCAAGGGCCAGACTCCAGAAACCGGCTCGTCGAGGCTCTATTCTGCGCCTCTCCATTCGCTCCCGGACTTCCACTCCCTCGGATATTCAGGCCTGTTCGCATGTGGCTCTTCGATCATACGCAGTTGACACGTTATTATATCTGTCTCTTTTCTTCAATTGACTCCAATTCACAGCGCAATTCTATCCCGATGTCGGCAAAATAAAGTACGGACCGGGACGGGGTCTGAGGATGATGAACCGCAGGAATTCCACTACTACTGCTACACCGGTGTTCGCAGGCAGCGTCACAGTCCCTTCCGTTCGTCTCTTCTCGTAGGCTGCATACATACTGTTGCATGCGTCCCATATGTATGCTTACCCGTGTGTATGCAGGGACAACGCCGTCCGCCTGCAGCTCAGGATGCCTCTGCTGATGGAAAATTTTTCTCTCCTCCGCCCAGCACGTCCTCTTGTGGCAGAAGCTGAGATTTTCCCCGTCCAATGTTTGCTCGCCGGGCCCCTGTCGTCAGGTGATTTGCCTGCCGCCCCCCTGTCACGTCAATTCATGCGACTTGTGACAGCCCCCGAACTGGTCCCGATGCTGATGGTGACAGAAGCTTATCACGGATCGCTATGCGTTCTCCAAGCAGGGCCAGGCCGCTGTCCATGCCCCTGGGATGCCATCTTTATAAGCCTTATGCAGCAAGTTTTTTGCTCCATCCTGCTCGGAGGTCCGACTGCCAGCCGGCCGAGTCAAGGTGGTGATTGGACGTGCTGCTGTTCCGACGAACCCGACAGCTTCCAAGCCTCTGTTCCGAGTAATTACCATCTGATTCCACTTCCACATGCGCACCCTATGCCGTGGATTGATGGCCAATTGGCTAAATGACCAATTCTCAACGCCTTGGCGTCCGGCAAACACCCGGGGAAACCGACTTCTCCAGCAAACTCATGTGCGTTTCAGGGAAGCCGAGAATCCTGTTCCACTCTCCATCACCTCAGTTTTTCCTTCTCCGCGGTGCTGTTCTTCCCCGGCACGCGCGTAGTCGATGAGATGATTTGGTTTACAAATGGCTCCTCCAGGATGCTTGTTTGCCACGTTGATTTTCTCAAGCATGCTGCGACAGGGCCCCGGCTTTACCCCTGGTTTACCTTGCGCCAACTCCGGCTGTCGTAAAGATACATATTGTGCTAAATTGCATACTTCACTCAGCCTGAAAATGCCATTTCCACAACGCCCGCTCCCCGGACATTTGTTCCTGCCTGGGTGGCGTGGCAAGCCCGTTCCTTGACACCGAAATCGTCGCATCCCTTTCGACATAGCCTGACTGCAGGTAACGTGAGCGTGCTAGAGAGCGGGAGGGGAGGTCAAAGTTTACTTATTCTGGAAAACGTAGAGGTCAAGGGCCGGGGTGAACCATCCTTCTGGGCCGCATAGACCTGGGGGTTGGCCTATGCCTTGATTCTGATTCGTATTTCGTTCTTCTTCTCCTTTGTAAGATTTGTTTTATCTCGCTTTTTGGACATTATTCAAGAAATCTCTCCATGTTGAAAGAATTGACTGTGGCGTGAGCGGCAAACATGTCGGTCTGATGGGTCTTCCATTTGCTTCTCCGAGGAATCACACAGTGTTTCAACCAACACTCACTCGATGATATCACCCACTTTCGACCTGAAACCATGTTTTATGGGTATAAATTAAGTCTTTATAGAAGATGAAGCATATTAGCTGCGGCAATGGTCTTGGATACTACACTAACCCCACGGCCCACGAAGTCACATGAAGATATCATCCTGACGACCCCTTCCCTGTTGTTGCCCTTGCCCCGGAAAGCATATGACATAGGACTGGGGTTAATTGGTCTAGCTCAAAGTCGTCAAGGTGATGTGCGATGATCCGCACACTGTTTTGCCAGGGATGGCAGATCTTACCACCAATGCCTTCGAGCATGAAACCCCTGCCTGATTTTACTAGGCCGCAGTGGCTCTGTCAATTCGGTAGATCATCTTGGCAGTGTTGAAGTACGCCTCGTACTCGACCGTTTCCGCTGTGTCATCAAGATCGTAATGATAGTGGCCCCCGGAGTTCTCTCCCGCCGCAGAGAAGCAATGTGTATGCTCTATCCGCAGCCCCATCTCATTGCCAGGGTCAGCCGAATGTAAGACGGAGAGGCAAACGATGGGTCCATGGAAGTCATGGAATGTGAGCCAGTTATCTACGTCTTTTCGCCCGTTGAAGGGCTGAGAGGGGAAGTCCGGCATCACGTGGTAGAGGGCCTTCCCTGACTTGACGACAAAGACGCCCCCGAGACTGACCGTCCGTGAGTCGCCGTAGGCGGCGTGCAGACCCTTTCTGATGCATTCCGAGAAACTCTTCTCCTGGCCTTTTCTCTTCCGTGCCGTGATTTTGAGTACTGGGCCTGGCTCGCCCAAGGATCCGAACAGATTCACCATCAGTCCACAGTCCACGGATGGACTCCTGTCAACGACAACAGCCTTGGTGGCACCGTCAATCTTGATGAAGCGAGACTCATTGGTGACGGTGCCGTCCTTCCAGCTTAAATTCGGCGCCAGCTCGGAATTCTGTCCCAGGACGTGAAATGGGCCGGCCCCAGCCCCAATGAGACATCCCTTAGCGGCGCTCATGTCCATGGATGTGCCGATGCTGACCATTGACCACTTGCTCTCGAGATTGGGCCGGGGGAAAAGATTCGGCTGACCGCCGACATCCGCAATCTTCTCGTCTCCTGATAGACCCTGGGAAGCGAGATGGAATGGCGCCTGCCGAAGATCGGGGCAGTCAACGACACTTACTGCCGACTCCTCGTAGTTGGCCGCAAGTGGCGCTCTCAAGGTCCGGGCCAGCTCCTCGAGACTGGGTGGTGATAACGGATACTTTTGAATAGGCATTTTTTGAAATCTCGTGGATTTGAGACTATAGTCGAGTGCATCTATTTTGGGACAGTTGATGATGTAGTTAGTTCTCAGAGCCAGCCCTGAGGGATTTGGTTGATGCTTTTCCGCCTTTGTCGAAAGTTATCCGCCTCCGCGGATAATTGAATGTGGAAGTAATTTGTTGCCGAAATCAGGAATGGTACGAATCTCTCATTGGCTTAATGACGTCTTTTGGCACATCACACCCGAGCCAAAATAGAGACATTTAAAAGCCGGTGACCCACATGGGGAGAGCGTATGATCCTCCTCGATGTCTTGGGCGAGGTTTCGAACATCGATGAGTCGTCAGAATGAATTGATCTATCTATATCATGTACCTATATCAAAATTCAGAAAGTCTTCGCCAAAATGATTATCGGACGTGATCATCAGGTCTCACTCTCTATTTGCTTTCTTATTGCACACCGGAGTTACTCGAGCACGCTGGACGAAAGAAGGAGATGGGGGTACCTTAATTAGAAGCGCAAAAAGGAGACTCATTTGAGTAGATATGAACCCGCTAGTAGCACCTATATAAGTAAAAAATAAAATACTAACCAACTTCATGTACCTACAAGACGCCCAATAGCGCTTGACTTTGCTTGAGAAACCGACTCCAACAACGTATAGAAAGCTATATAGCTACCTACTTCCTCTGTATTCATTTACTGTAGTTTTTAGGTGTATTTATATAGATGCCTTTTGCCCGTGAGGGGTGCACCGACGTAAAAATATGATCATCACCATCATTATCATAAAGAGAGGGTTAGTATTTAGCTAAATGGTTAAGACGCCATCACACCGAATTGTAGATTTTTGAGCGAATGGCAATCATATTAAGGATCTCAAAACAGATGAAGGTTCATTGTTCAATAACATATTCTGCTCGGGCAAGCGTGACCCAAACCATATCCTAAATCCACCAACGAATTCAGATCTGCGAGAGGCGGGCAAACAGACATTGTTTCATGATGCCTAAAATGAAAAGCTTTTGATTTATAAAATGGAAGATTTTAGATCTAATAGTTCATGCAATATGTAGGGCTCAAATTCGCAATCTTTTATAGGTGTAATCAGCATGGAAAGGCTCATATCAATTTCAAGGGCAGGTTTCTGAAAATAACACAGGAAAGGAAGTGAAACCCATACCGGTTTTCAACTCATGAAACCTATCTGCCAATACATATCCGGCTAAAGGTAGGTGGCTCCGACTCAGTACATAAGAATGAGTGTTTGGTTGGTGTTTGTATTGGTAATGGATCAAATAGCTATACACTCTCCAAGCCCAATGAGTCATTCAATGGAGCAATTCTAGGACTGATACATCAAAATTACATAGAAGGGATTTTACAAAGTGATTTAAATAAAAGGGATGAAGAATTTATGTAACCATTCAGCTAGATGTATTGCAGGACCTACGTGGACTCGAGATCGAGGAGCCGATTTGCCGAGTAAATGTACCTATATAAGCCAAATACCCTCACCTTCTGTCATCTACGATCATACCTGTGAGGCAGCACTGGATCCCGTTTGCTCTCCG